TGTCTTAAAGGGTTTATGTGGAGTACAATATTGTATAACTCTATTAACTCAACGTAAACCTAATAATTTACAGCCAGTTTTGAAAGAGAAGCATCTTAGCTCTGGAAATTGTTATTGAATATGTCAATGTTGTTGTAATGAAATGCCTCTTCTAATTATATGGTTATTAAATAAATAATTTAAAAAGAAAACCAGACACACTGATCAATGGAACAGCACCTAGGACCTGGATCAAATTCCACAGTGACCCGGTTTTCAACTAAGGGGCTAAAAGTACATATTGAAGAAAACATAGCATGTTCAACAAATGGTGCTGATCGAACTAGCTAACAACATACAGAATAATGAAACTAGATCCCTATCTCTCACCATGCTTTACAAAACTCAACTCCAAATGGAACGAGGACCTCAACATGAGATTTAAAAGCCTGAATATGATACAGAAAAAAGTAGGAAACACACTGGAATTTATCAGCACAGTAAAAGACTTTCTAAAGAAGACTTCTACAGCACAGGCATTAACTACAACAATTGACTAATGGGACCCCATAAAACTACAAAGCTTCTGAACAGCAAAGGACACACCATTTGAGTGAAGAGGTAACCTACAAAATGAGAAGAAAAAAAAGAAAATCTTTACCAGCTATACCTCTGGCAGAGGGCTAGTCTCTAGAATACACAAAGAACTCAAAAAGCTGAACATTAAAAAAAATTAAAAATTGGGACAAGGAAATAAACAAGAGTTCTCAAAAGGTGAGATACAAATGGCTAAGAAATATTTTTAAATGTTCAGCATCTTTAGTCATCATGGAAATGCAAATTAAAAGTACTTTGAGATTCTATCTTACCCTTCTCAGAATGGTTAATATAAAAGCAAGTAAGTGTTAACTGCATTAAAAATAATTTTTTTCTGTATGAAACTGTGTATTTTAATAATGAAATGGAGATCTTTTTTAAAGGTTAAAACCTCATTCAATTTTATGTCTTATGGGGTTTATACTGAGTACAATATTGTATAACTGTAATAATTCAACTGTAAACCTAAAAATTTATAGCCAATTTTGAAAGAGATGTGTCTTAGCTCTGGAAATTGTTACTGAGTATGTCAATGTTGTTGTAATGAAATGCTTCTTCTAATTATGTGGTTATTAAATAATTTTTTAAAAAAACAAATGACAACAAATGTTGGCAAGTATGTGAGAAAAGGAGAATGCTTCTTCACTGCTGGTGGGAGTGCAAACTGGTACATCCACTATGGAAATCAATGTGGAGATTCCTCAAAAAGGTAGAAATAGATCTACCACATTACCCAGCTAAATCACTCTTGGCCACATACCCAAAGGACTCTATATCCTACTACAGAGATACCTGTTCATCCATGTTCATTGATAAATTGATTCAGTTTCCCAGGAAACTGAAACAACTTCCACGTCAACTGATGAATGGATATGAAAGTATGGACCATTTATACAATGGAATATTATTCAGCTGTTAAGACAAAATTACAAAATTCACAGATAACTGGAGGAAACTCATCCTGAGTGAGGTAACCCAGACCCAGAAATGCAAATGCCACAAGTTCTCTCTCCTAAGTGGATGTTAGTTTTGAATCCTTGGATACGTATGTTTCAATTAGAAAATCCAAAGGTTAGGAAACTAGTAGGAGGTCATGCAGGGGAGGCCTCATAGGCGGGGAGATAAATTGCAGTGATACAAAGGGAGAAAAGGGAATAATGGAGTAGGAAAGATAAAACGGGGTGGGAATGGGAGGGCAGGGCAGAGAAGCAAGTAAGAGGAGGGATAACTAACACTAAAAGCCTCTAGAAAAGTCATATGGAAACCTGCCACTACAGAAGATCTTCTCAAAGTATATGCATACATAATATAAAAAGAGATTAAAAAGGAGCTAACAGGTGTCTGCTCCTACCAGATACCATAGGCTAGCAAGAAAAAGACCAATGCCAGGAATAGGCTCCCTCTTTTGAAACTATTAATCAGTATACCATAGACCCTCAAACAATACTGGCCATTGCCTCTGCTCTTGGTTAACCACCAGAACTTGACAGTAAGACCACATTGTTAATAAGCTGGTAATGACTTAAAGCATCATCTCTGCTGGCTAGCGCTCATAGTGCTAGAAGGTCCTATGCACACTACAAAGAGAATTAATTATCAACCCTGCCCAGCTATGAATCATGCAAGCTACAACAATAAGTGACCTGGAAAGATAGTCCCATTGGTGCAATAGTGGCACGAATGTTATGTAAGTAACCAACCACTTTCTGATGGAATTTAAGGTCTATATCACAAGATGAAGCCCATACCTGACACTGATATCAGGCCTAAGAACTTGTGGCTAGAGAGGTCACAGGCCAAAGGGGAGAACCGACTACTATTAGTCTACTAAACATAGTATTAAACCAATTCCTAAGGATTTATCATTATACCCATAGATTAATTCATCTCTCAACTCTCACCAGAGAAGCTTCCACATGCAGCAGACGGTGATTAACACAGAGATTCACAACTGGAAACATGCACAGAATAAGAGAACACTAAGTGCTTAGTCCTGAATAGGACACACTTGCTTCCCAAGGCTCAGGGATCACTGGTGAAGAGGGGGGAGAAAGACTGCAAGAGGTGTAAGAGGTGGATGACCAAATGGAAAGTGTTTTCCAGAAAACTAGGCAGATACTCATATGTAGTCACAGCAAAGGTGACAGCATGCATAAGACCCACATAAACTCAAGCCAGACAAAGTCCTACTATAGAGGTGAGAAGTAGGTGAGATGCCCCAGCCCTAGCTCAGGAACTCTTGGTAAATAGCAGTTGCTGGGACAGGGAAAGTCAGTTTTCTTTAAGGCTATGATGCTAGGTGGGCTAACCAGGCTCTAGAATATGGATTCAACTAAAGGGCATTTGCAGACACAAAGTATATTTGATAGGCCTGAAAATACGTATACAATATGAGTACATGAAATCAGGCAGAGAGCAGTAAGGGGAGATGCAGATAGGAGAGGGCATCTGAATATGATCAAAATATATTGTATGAAATCCTCAAAATTCAATTAAAAATAATTTTTTTTAAATTACAGTCTCCTCACAAATGAGAGGATTGTCTCATATACTCTTGAGAGAAGTTGCCTTCTCACTCTCTGGAGTATTTTCTCATCTTGTGATGCCACTACTGTGTTTTATGTGGCAAGGACCCTACCACATGCAGCCCCTGCATCTGAACTTCCCAGTCTCCAAATCTCTGAGAAAAAAATTTCTTTAATCACTGAAGTGGAAATAATAGTACCTTTCTCTCTAGAATAGTTGCATGAATAACGGAAACAATGTACAGTGAGCAGCACAATATCTTTCATGTAGTGATAGGGTTTAGTCACGATAATAAGATAATAGTATTAATAGCTAGTGTCTTAGAAGAGACAAGAAGGGGGAAAGATTCATTTTGTGTGTTACTTAGAAAATACTTCACTTCACGGGGCTGGAGAGTTGGCTCAGTAGTTAAGAGCACTGACTGCTCTAGCAGAGGACCAGGGTCCGATTCCTAGCACCCATATGGTAGTTAATAACCATCCTAACTCCAGTTCCAGGGGTTCCAGTATCCTCTTCTGACCTCTGTAGGCACTACATGGCACAGGTGCACTTATACACATATAGGCAATATGCTCACACACATAAAAAATATAGAGATATATAAAGTAAATACGTATAATAAAAAAATTATTGACTTCAGTTAAGACCTTATATATTCAACAAAGTGCAATACCTCTGTACAAATGGAAAAAAGCTTAATCTCTAGACCAATATGGCTAAAAATTTCTGTTCAAAGTCAATGAGGTAAGCTAGAATACTTCCTTCCAAAGCTGACAGCACAAATAAAGTCTCCAAAATATCAAATACTTTTACGTATGTATTTCATGCATCATTCTACAGATATGAGTACATATGAAGACCAGTAATAGCTGTACATGGTGAGCCAATAGCAGCGAAAGCTTTAACAGCTTCTGTGTCATCTCAACAAAAGTATCAAGAACTCCTGCAACTCCATTAAGGAAGAAAGGCAAACGCAAAACTCCAGAAAATAGCAAATTTCTCTTACTCTCAAAGCTACGTAGCATCCTTTTCTTATTCTCTCCTCAACCATCATCTAGAAAGAAAACATTCTAGAAGTAACATCATTAAAACCAGCTCAGTACTGTGTATCATGAAACAGAAACAAGATTTCAACATTCACAGAGGTATGCACAGTACTGTCATGTACTATATGATACTAGAGAACACAAATTAAAAGGCATTGGAAAAACATGTTTTGAAGAGAGGATGGATTCAGTTGTAAATGTGTTGACTGCACATTCTGTGGAATAGCATGTGAGGAGAACCAACAAGCTACTCTATCTGCATAGCTGAGGTGAGGACAGCGAAGGGAAGCAGACCCAGGTGTTATTCTCAACAGGCATAAGCATGAGATTCAATAACTCCTGGGGAGAAATACCAAGTAGGAAAGGCCATTAATAGGATACTAGGTAAAATCAACATTACACATTGAACGTGAACAGAGGGACATGTAAGGCAGAACTCTAGTCCTTCTAAGTCAGGTTCTTCTAGGTCAGGGGCATAAACCTCAGCAGAAGAGCTTTGAGAAGAAAAAGAAAGAAACAGGGACAATTAAGCTCAGCAATGCAGATACCTTTGAATTTTACTGTGAGTACTACTAAACCAGGCAGAGCCCAGATGCCTGTCACCAATCTCCAGGTCAAAAGAAAAAAGACAGGATCTTAATTTTAATTGTTCACATATTAAAAATTATAAATAAAAGTGATAAAACAAAGGCACATTTACAATTGAAGTACAAAGCCCAGTACACAAACATGGGAACGGGAACAGGAAAATGGATAGCCTCCACCACCAGATGCTCTTCATAGTACAAGCCCCTAAAGACAAGCAGGTCTGACAAATCAAACAGAGGAGACATTAAAATCAGATTCTAAATCATGGCCAATGTCTTGGAAAACTTTGTGGGTAATTAAGAAACAGGATAAACTGTGCACTGTGTGAGGAGTGTACCTCTGAGAATGGAAGCCCACACATTCACCAAGCAGAATTATACCTCTTCTAAACCTCCAGTCATCTCCTTGATCATCCTGATGGCTTGACTGCTGCTGGGAAATATAAGGCACTTGATGCTGTAAACCCTTCCGATCACCTTCTGCTTTGGCAAGCTGTGTACGTAGTTCTTCTACCTAAATGCATTTAGTCAAAAGTCAAAATTTTAATCAGCTCACAAAAACAGAAAAAAATGAAATTTACAAATTGTTATAAATGATTTCCCTGGGGGAAAAAATCCACCTCGAATGGGCTGTTGTAACACAAGCGAAAGCCACTTAATCTCCATGCTACCTGAACTCAGTCTTCTGCTCCCTTTGTTTATGCTTCCATTCCTTCCATAAAGAATTTCTTCTCCTTCCCTGTGTCCACAGTGACAAAGAACTTCAACATATTTTGGGTTTTCCTTTGTGTGCTAGGAATTTAACTCAGAACCTTTCTCTGTGAGGCAATTGTTCTACAACTAAACAACAACATAATCTTTGTTTTTTGGTTTTGTTTGTTGCTTGTTTATTTGCTTATTTGTGTGTTTCTGACACCGGCTTTTCTAACATACCCCAGGCTGGCCTCTTGGAGCACTCCTCCAGCCTCAGCCTGATAAATTCTGAGATTACAGGCATGCATCACCACATTTGGCTCAAATACATCTTTAAATCTATTTGACCTCAGGTCATTCCAATATTATGAACCAAAATCACCTCCAATTAAGCACCGTGGGTTTTTGTTTTTTTCTTAATTTTCATCTGTTTTCTTTCATGTGAACATGTTATGCTAGTCGTTAAACTCTAGTGAAGTGGTCATGATTTAGTATATTCTGATGTCAAAATAGAACTCAAGACAAATAATAGGTGACACTGAATAAACTCAAAGCTTTTTTTTAACTTCATATATAGACAGATCTCCCTGTAGCCACAACTGGCCTGGAACTTGCTATATAAACCAGTCTGCACTTAATCTCACAGATCTTCCTGCCTCTGCCTCCTGAGTGCTAGAATTAAAGGCATTTGCCAACATGCCAGACTAAACTACAATCTCTTGAAATCATGACTTGCTTTAATCATCTTCATATTTCACAGGGAAACTAGCAAATTTTCTAGGATGCAACAAATGTATCCACAATAACCATAATCAAGTTAGCAGTGGGAAAAAAGATCCAGATAAATGACAATCTGCCAATACATCCACCAAAAACTGAAATTAAAGATTACAAATCAGAGTTCCAAAAATAAATCAGAATGGAATTAAATAAAAATTTCTAGGAAAGAAATTCCAAATTCTGCCATCATTAATTCCTTATGACCACTGACTGGAGAACGAAGTTAACAAACATTTTTAAAAGCTTTGCAAAACAGGTGCTATGGTGCATTTTCAGCAGCTGCTATGAAGATGCAGAACTGAGCACCTACAATGACAGACACCCTGTCCTAGACAGCATATAGGGGAATTATGACACACACATCTCAAAACAGAAGACGGCACAGGGAGAGAGACAATGAGAAACACATCCATCCTAATCCACTGTATGTAAGACGGTCATTAAAAGTTACTGAACTTTAAATATCAAAGCACCCCACTCCCAATATAGGCTAATGTACTAAAAATGTTATGCCTAAAAATTAAGCCTTATCTTTGGTTAAAAGGAGGCAGGTAGCATCTTGAAAACATGAATAAAGATGTATTCAAAGTGACCTGAACATGAAAGGTCTGTTAAATGCATTTTCTCCCTCCTCCTTTGTTCTCTAGCACCTCCTTGCATAAAAATGAAGCTCCTGGGAAAATTTTATCTAGCACATCCAGTCTTACTTTTACATTGTTACTGCTAAGAGAGGTAAGTAGTAAGTCAAAACAGCAATCAGCAAGACACATTGTCCTAGTGGGAACCCGGGCTGGGGTTTTCTATGAGCTTTTTGTCAATCTTCATATTTTACTTCTGTGCTAATACACATATCGACGGGGGGAAACATTCTAGATCTAGGTTTTTCTTATTTTCCTCTCACAAAGACATTTGAGAGAAAAGGAGACTCACTCCAGACTTAACAACAAATTGCCTGTAGTTGGATGGGCTTACCTGATGCAAAAGTGTTTCTCTGCTGCCCTCAGATTGGTTCAGTAGCCTGCAAGAGAGCTCCAATTCCTGTTCAAGCTCAAGTTTCCACAAAAGATAAGAACACATAAAATGGGAATAAAATAACTGTGCCCTTATGGGCAAAATATGTTCAATGGGTCACAATTTAAGAAACTAACAGAAAAGCTTGTAGGAGATATTAATAGCCTGGCTTTCATTTCGGTGCTAGTGATCTGAATTTGGGTTCTCACGCTTGTTTAGCAAGCACTGTGCTGAGTGACCCATCTCACCAGCCCATAAAACTAAATTTTTATCTACTTACATAATTTTTCTTTAAAATTATGTATCTAAGCCAGGCGTAGTGGTACACGCCTTTAATCCTAGCACTCGGGAGGCAGAGGCAGGCAGATCTCTGTGAGTTCAAGGCCAGCCTGGTCTACATAGTGAGTTCCAGGACAGCTGGGGCTACAGGGAGACCCTGTCTCAAAAACACCAGAAAAAAAAAAAATATGTATCTAGGGGCTGGAGAGATGGGCCCGCGGTTAAGGGCACTGGTTGCTCTAGCAAAGGACCCAGAGCACCCACATGGCATCTAACACCTGTCTATAACTCCAGTTCCAAGGGATCCAATGGCCTCTTCTGACCTCCAAGGGCACTGCATGACACGGGTGCAATACACTCATACACATAAAATAAAAAAATAAAATATTATTTTAAAAACTATGCATCTGAGCACCAACATCTCAGTGTTAGCAGCAAAAACAATGAGTCTTTCTAGAACTCACTGATGAAACAAGGCAACCAGCCAGTGAGCTCTAGGGATCCTGTTGTCTCCACCCCCAGTTCTGGAATTACAGATATGCACCACTGCACTTGGCTTTTATGGGTGGTACTGAAGTCCATCATGATGCAGAGTTAATACGTGCTCTGGAATGTGTTATTGAATATGTTAAAGCTGTAGTGAAATGCTGCTTCTAATCATGTAGTTATTAAAAAAATTTTTTTTGAATGATTAAAAAATAATTCTTCAAATCATAAAAATTTGCTCCTTAATAATTAGCAGATGTGAAAAACATTATCATTGAAATCTACCTGACAACTTTATATCCATGCTCAGATGCCAAGGAGCTCAGAAAGTAACTGACTGTGACTAGTAATAATCAGATATATAGATTAGAAACGCATGTGCAAACTCTTAATGTCAATTGCATTAAAAATGAATTTTTCTGTATAAAACTGTGTATTTTAATGATGAAATAGAGATCTTTTTTAAGGGTTAAAACCTCATTTAATTTTATGTCTTATAGGGTTTATACTGAGTACAATATTGTATAACTGTAATAATTCAACTGTAAACCTAAAAATGTAAAGCCAATTTTGAAAGAGATGCATCCTAGCTCAGAAAATTGTTATTGTATATGTCAATGCTGTTGTAATGAAATGCTTCTTCTAGGTATGTGGTAATTAAATAAACAATTTTAAAAAACTATGCATCTAGCTGGTAAAATAAACATCACATTAAAACAAAGTTTATGTGGTATCACTAAACCCAAACAAAATATTATCTGATTTTTCTCTTGATTCTTATGATGAAAGAAAGAGGGACGAAATCATAAGTCAAAACTGCTCTGAATTCAGGCAAGGTCCCCACTGGTCATAGCCTCGCCTACTATCAATAGTCTCAACTTCCAACAGGACTACATTCTACAGAGAACTATAAGATCACTCCAGAGGCAATAGCAGACAGAAAAATGATGTGAAACTAGCAGCAGCAAATTTGTCTCCATTATTCATTATCTTGGGCTCATCCTTAAAATGTACTCATGTGAAAACTGAAAAGAGTTATGCGGCCTCTGAACTCCCTTATAAATATTTATTATTTTTATTTTATTTTGTATTAATGTATTGCCAGGATGTACATAAGCACACCATGTCATGCAATACCCAAAGAGGTCAGAAGAGGGCGTCATATCCCCTGAAACTGGAGCTACAAGCAATTGCTAGCAGCCAGGTGCTTGGAATCAAACGCAGATCCTCTGCAAGAGCAGCCAGTGCTCTTAACTGCTGAATCGTCTCTCCAGCCCCTGAATTCCCTTCTAGAGCTAAGGCGCTAGGCTCCATGTATTCACAGATGTGAATATACATCAAAGGTCCTTAGCATCTAATGAGAATGGAGGATATCTCCAAAGCTAGGCTGCTAATTACACCTATCTTCTATAAAGAAAATGGATATATACAAAATGTCTAGCAGTAAGTCAAATAGTAAGTCTCTCCCAATCAACCTGCAACAGCCAAGTTCTTTCAATGTTCTCCCATCAAGGAAACACAGCTTAATTCACCTCTCTAAAAGGAGCATGTTACAAGATACCAAGGCAGTAAATGAACCGCATATATGTGTGTGTGTGTGTGTGTGTGTGTGTGTGTGTGTGTGTGTGTGTATGTGTTTCCAAGAGTGAAGGCAGAGCCATAAGCCACTTCATGGCACAAAGGCTCCACTGTGCTCTGGTGAACGACCCCAGGGACACCTCTGAAGCCACTCAACCACCACCACTGACCCTGACCACACTGCACCTGGGACTGCTTTCAAACTCTTACCTGGCTCTTCTGGGTCTCCGTTTGCCGCAGCTTGGTTTTCATTACACTCTCATTCTCTTCCACTTTAGCTTCTTGCTTCTTCAGTGCCTACAATGAAGGAGAAAGAAAACAATGTATCCTCCCAGGATCTGCAAACCTGAAGGCTACCCTAGGATGCATTAGGAAACAGCAGAGAAGACTGCTTTGAGTTACACAAAACTTGCAAACAAATTACAACCTATAAATTCACAGAAGCCCTAATACCTCTTCACAGAGGATCAAGGACAAACAACTTCCTGATTTTCCTAATCATTTTTCCCTTAGTTTCATTTTTCTCCATCTTTGGAAATCTTACAACACATTCAGAGAGCATAAGTTAACCAACACTTGTCTTGTAAACAAAGATTATTGCAAATGAAAATAACAGTATTGGTAGGCAGACATGGTCAAGCCTCTAATCCCAGCACTTGGGAGGCAGAGGCAGGTGGATCTCTGTGTAATCCAGGCCAACTGGGTCTACATAGAGTTTTCCAGGCCAGCTGGGGCTACAGGGAAACCTTGTCTCAAAAAGACAAAAATAATAACAACAACAATAATAATAGTTTTTTCATAGTTATATGACCTCAATTGTGTAGACATAACACCAAACACCAGCTCACTAGTTTTTCAAACACTAAAATCACACGCCCACAGCAGAAAAACAAGCGTCCTGCATGTCCATTATGCAGAGGACACTTAGGCACAAAGCATGCTGGGCTATCCAAACTGTACTACTACAGTGGCCCTGCTTTAATAAAGAGGAGAAAAACAGACTTAAATTTTTTTCTCAACACCTAATCACAGAAAAAAATGCTCCTTTGTGCTTGTTTCTATGCTAAAAAGAAAATTAAACTGTAGGAGAAAGGGCTTATACTTAAAGCAGACTTTCCTAATATCCAAAGGCATTCTATTCATATAAAGAAAAATGTTGACTATTTGAGTTCTTATATTTAGTATGGTATACACCAGACACATACAACTTGAAGCAATCCGAGCTGTTAAAGTCTTTTCCAACAACATTAACAGAAAAACCAGGTTAGGAAAATAATAAAATTTGCTAACGATCTTCTTGGATGTGATATACTATCACAGTTTACTTCATTACCTTACATATTCAAATGGCTCCTGAATCTACTTCCTGTGTGCCAGGCACCATGCTGGGAGCTACTAATAAATAAATGTATGAAACAGTCATGGTTCCCACCCAAGAGATGAGCTCCTTTAGCCACCGCACCTCCGCTCACTGAGCTAAACAGCAGAGATGCATTGTCGAAACAGGGAGCAAACGGAAATGAATACAATAATGAACACGTTTCCAGCGTTCAATATATCTAGGCAATTGTCTCACCACATTTACTGACTATATTAGACATAATATAGTCTAATATTAATTAATTAATATTAATATTCATGATAATCCTTTGCGTTATCAAGCCCATTTTATCAAAGAGAATATTGGGGCATTGGGAACTGAATAAACCACCCGAGGTCACTGTACTTGTTAGTGACACACAATGTGAGATATGAGATTCAGCCAGCCTGCCCTTTAAGGACTGAACAACATTGCCTCTCCGTCTTCCTCTCCCTGACATAACACCCATCTAACAGGGTTGAGGGGAAAACTACCTAGCTTGATACTTGTGAAGCAAATAGGTTAATAGTTGGCACATAATATGCAGTAAAAGTCAACAATTAATCACTAGTAAGTTACTGAGAGTGATGAAGTATTAAAATCATAATGCCTTTCGGGAAGATATCAAATAATTTTAATATTTGGTATTTGTTCCTTATTGTTGGGCAAACCTAATTTGCAATAATATTTCATTCTGAAAACATAATGTATTCAATTTTGGTTGTTGGGGTGTGTTTACAAATTTTGCCTAAACAAAATCTAGAAATTTGAAAGTTCTACTAGCATCCTTATCCTTTCTATGACTGCTCCATCTCTTCCAAAATATGTGTGTGTGTGTGTGTGTGTGTGTGTGTGTGTGTGTGTGTAAATGACAGAGAGACAGAAAGACAAACGCAAAGAGAGGCAGAGCAGAGACAGAAAAATGTGAAGAAAAAGTGATAGAAAGAAGTTGTCACTGCACCTTGATCCCCTGCACTGGAACCACCTACGTTTACCTGCTCCAGGGCTGACAGCTACTCTGCATAAGTAGTTACACCCTCCCCACAAGGTCTTCATCCCCACCTTGGGCCTAGGTCCCCTCCTGCTAGTCTTAACTGAAACCCCACTACTGAGCCTTGATCAAGCCCTGCATCCAGACCAGGTACGTTCTCCTGCTCCTGGACTCACATCTACTCTGCTCAGCTAATCAGACCCTCCTCATACTGTCTGTACCCCAACCTTTGGCCTAGGCCCCCTCCTAATCATCCAGCCTGTGACCTCCTGACTAGCCTGCCAGAAACCCAGCCAATGGATCCCCCATAGTCCAGAACTGGGCGTAGGCCCCTTCGCCCTGCTGGAGAGCTCTTGACTAGTCAAAGCTTTGAATAATTCTGTCCTGCCAATAAAAATCAAAAGTGAAAACCGTGAAGTATGGACCAACTAACAAGTCATACACTATCATAAAACAACCAAGCTACATCAACAATATAAACAAAACTAAACTTCAGTTCAACAAAGGCAGGCTAGAACTTCATACCAGACACACAACCAACAAAAGAAATTCAGATGGCCAGACCACAACACAAAAACACACATAATATATATATAAAAAAAAAGATAATATGCCCCAACAAAACCCACCAGTCCTTGAGAAGTGTTCTACAGTGAGAACTATCCAGAGGCACCCAGGATTCAGATTTTAAAAGAACAATCATAAACATGATCAAAGAATTCAACAACTTTAAGAACACACAACACAAAGAACTCAAAGGGATCATAATAAACTCCTGAGTTAAGCTCAAGAAAATACAAACACACAAACGACAAAGACAATTCAGGGCGTGAAAAGAGAATTCTCAAAAGAGAAAGAAATATTGAAGAAAACTCGAGCCAAAATGAAAATGGAATTGAAAAATTCAATACATCAATTTGAAACAAGAAGAGAAAAAGCCTCACAAGCAGAAATAATGAAAAGGAAAACAGACTATCAAGACTAGATAATAAAGTTGAAGGACTAGATAGGTCTGTAAGGGAAAAATACAGAGGAAATCAAAGATTGAAGAGAGAGAATTTAATAGTACTTAAGTTTAATTACTTCATTGCTTATAACTTCCTGGGTAAGAGCCACTCAACTCTGGTACAAGGCGAGACTGAGACATAAGGGCGCCCAGAGACAGATAATGGGATGTGGGCTGCCGCCCTAGGGCATGACCCGTGATAAGTAGGCATGTGAGAGATAACAGAAAGCAGTCAGAAATGCTTGTGTAAATAAGAGATTACAGAAATCAGGAAACTGACACGTACCACCCAGAGGGTGACACACATAAATTAGCTTAAATCTATAGGTTAGGTATTTTAAAGCTATTGGCTGTGTGAAAATGTGCGGGCTCTGGTACAACGGCTGTGAAAATCCTATATAAACTTTGCCTGAAGTTGCTTCAGGGTCGATTGCTCTAACCAGGCCTGCGTGTCTTGGGAGGACGGTCGACCCCAGCTAGCTGGCTTAATAAAGACTTTGCTTGAATTACATCTCCGTGCTCGTACATATGGTTTTCCTGGGAAGCCACGGAGTCTCGGACCCTAACATTTGGGGGCTCGTCCCGAGATTTGGGGGGGGGCTTCTGGGGGAACAAAGGACGAATGGAGGCAGAGTCTCTTTGTCTGGATGGGGCAGTGTAATTCGGGGGTCGCTCCCTCGTGTCTGTATAAATCCAGTATAAAGCGAGAGTCGCCACCTTGTGTCTGGTCTAGGGTTAGTGATCCCGAGCAAGGAAGTCTGGGTTGGAAGTCCCGGCCCCCAGGTTAGCGACCCTGGGTGAAGTTCAGGTAGCCAACCCTGGCCCTAGGGTCCGAGTGACTCAGCCTTAGGAAGGCAAGCCCGATCGGCGGAGACCTAGCGCCCAAGGTAGAGGAGGTTGAGCTCACCACCCTACAGCAGTCCATGTGGACGCTTTTTGGGAGAATTACCAGAAGTATCGAGGATCCCGAAGGTGAAAGTGAAAGTGAAAGTGAAAGTGGTGAGTGTGGTGCACACCAGAGTGAAAGAAGGACAGGTCCGAGCGAGTACGATCAGATGTGGTGTGTGTGCTTAGTGTCGTTGTTAAAATTGTTATGTTATGTTGTGGTTTGTATTTATATTTCTTTCTGAGCTCTCTAGTTTAAGGCTCTCCTATCCTCCTTTCTGCCACTGAAACTCCCCGCGGGCACGGGTCGGGCAGTTAAGAGCCATTAGGGCGCCCGCCACTGAAAGACTCCCATGACAGGATAAGGGGGTCACAGCCACGAACCCCAGATAAATTCATGTCCCCCGCGGAAGAAAAAACTGTGCAACGACAGGCACCCATTCACAAGCACACACGCTGGTCATCTTATTTGGAGTGGCGCCTTTACTCTTTACCTTCTGCCTTCTTCCTTCCTTACGATCCCCATTATGGGCCAGACTCAGGCTACTCCTAAAGGTTTAATTTTTTCTCATTTCATAGAAGTAAAGAAACGGGTTGAATATGGGCCTTAGTATCAGACACCCTCTGCTCTGCCGGATGGCCCTCTTTTGGAGTAGGCTGGCCAGCCCAGGGGTCTCTTTCCTTGGACCTTATCAGTAAGGTCAAGGCTGTTATCACCAGGCAGGATCCCGAGGGCCACCCTGACCAATTTCCCTATATCCTTGTCTGGGAAAATCTGGCTGAGAATCCTCCGTCCTGGCTGAGTCCCTTTTTGGTGGGGAAACCGCACACTGACCCACCAAAGACTTCAGTCCTGGTCACCCGGGAAGGCTTAAAGCTCTCCTGTCACAAGGGTAGAATTCCTAGTGCACTGCCAGTCCTCCCTGATAGTTCCTGCCTCTACCCTCCTTGCCTGCCGAGCAACCACCCCCATATGTGGCTGAGAGGAGGATGAGGCTGTGGAGCCTCACAGGGACCAGGCAGCTGCCCCTTCCCCAGACTCCTCAACAGGGGAG